CATCATATTGCCAAAGTAATCCTGCATAAGAAGAGTGGAGTGGGCTCACTCTCAGACCCAAAAATATACTACAAAGATGTGGTAATCAAAACAGCATGGTACTGGTACATAAATAGACAGTTGGACCAATGGAACAGAATAGAGTCCCTAGAAATAAACTCTAAGGCATACAGTCAATTGACTTTTGACAAAGGGTTCCAGTCAATCCACTCAGAAAAGGAAAACCTCTTCAGCAAACTATGCTCAAAAATTTGGAAATCCACCTGCAGAAAGATTCATCTGAACCCTACCTCTCACCATTGACAAAAAGCAACTCAAGGTGGATCAAAGATCTAAACTTACAACCTGGAACTATAAAACTGCTCCTGGAAAACACTGGGGAAACCCTACCTCTCACCATTGACAAAAAGCAACTCAAGGTGGATCAAAGATCTAAACTTACAACCTGGAACTATAAAACTGCTCCTGGAAAACACTGGGGAAACTCGAGGAGACATTGGGGTAGGCAAAGACTTCTTAAATAAGACCCCTAAAGCATAGTCAACAATCCCCAAAGTAGACAAGTGGGATTACATCAGACTAAGAAGTTTCTGCATGGCAAAGGACACAGTAATTAGTCTGAATAGACATCCCTTAGAATGGGAAAATATTTTTGTAAGTTATACGTCAGATAAGGGACTGATAACCAGAATTCACAAGGAACTCAAGCAGCTGTTCTGAAAAAAGACAATCAATTCTATTAAAAGATGGGAGAATGAGTTGAAAAAACCACTCTCTAAAGATGACATTCAAGTAGCTAAAAGGCAAATGAAAATATACTCAACATCCCTCATTGTAAAGGAAATGCAGATTAAAACAACAGTGAGATACCACCTAACCCCAGTCAGAATGACTAAGATTAAAAAAACAAAAAAGGATAAGTGCTGGTGGGGGTGTGGTGAAAGGGGAACTCTCTTACACTGCTGGTGGGAATGTAAATTAGTCCAGTCACTGTGGAGAACAATTAGGAGATTCCTCAAAAATCTACAAGTAGAACTACCATATGATCCAGCAATCCCACTCCTTGGTATCTACCCAAAGGACAGAAGAATACTTAATCGGAAAAGTGCTTGCACATCGATATTTATTGTGGCAGTATTCACAATTGCTAAGTCATGGAAACAACCCAAATGCCCACGATCAGATGAATGGATAGAAAAACTGTGGCACATATACTCAATGGAATACTCTTCAGCCATAAAAAACAACAGAACCCTGGCTTTTGACAGGAAGTAGATGAATAAGGAAGATTTACTGCTGAGTGAAGCAAGCTAGGCTGTGAAGGAGAGGCATTGTATGTACCCACTTAATATATACCAAGTGTCCACACTGTGACTGAAACTAATCGACTAAAGGATATAGAAACACAGTATATACTTGTAAATACCAGATATAGTGTGTGTGAAAAAGGAAGGTCTGAGGAAGGACATTTAGAAGAAAAATAGGGAGGCAAAGCATTAATGGCACCAAGAAATGTGGTATTATCTGTTGAAGATATTTTGTAGTTTTATCAAATGTACTAGGGAGAAATGTTCACCTGTTGAAATATCCATTTTGTAAGCCAAATAATAATGTATAATGTAAATGAAATTTTAAAAAAGAAAAAAAGATGTCAATTCTACCCAAATTACAAGTCTGATGCAAAGCCAATCAAATTACCAGAGAGATTCTTCACAGATTCAGAAAAAAATTATCGAATTTGTCTGGAATCATAAAAGGTCCCATATTACCAAAGCAACAGTGCACAAAAAGAGTGCAGTAGGAGGCATCTCATTCCCTGACTGCAAAATATATCACAAAGTTGTGATACTCAAAGCAGCACAATAATGGCACTAAAACAGGCATGTAGACCAATGGAACAGAATAGAGACCCCAGAAATAAACCCAAAACATACAGCCAACTGATTTTTGACAAAGGGCACCAGTCAGTCCAATGGGGAGAAGAAAATCTCTTTAATAAATTGCTGGAAAAACTGGGTATCCACCTACAGAAAAATAAAACTGAACCTCTATCTCTCACCATTAACAAAAATCAACTCAAAATAGATCAAAGATCTATACCTAAGACCTCAAACTATAAAACTACTCATGGAAAACATGGGAAACTCTTGGAAACATTGGGGCAGGCAAATATTTCTTAAACAAGACCCCCCAAAGCACAGGCAATAATCACCAATATATGAGTGAAATTACATCAGTAGGTTAAAAAGCTTCTGCACAACAAAAGAAACAATAATTAAGAGACAACCCTCTGAATTGGTGAATATATTTACAAACTCTTCCTTGAATAAGGGGGGCTAATTGCCAAAATATACAGGGACCTCAACCATCATTGCAGCATTATTCATAACTGTTAGACATGGAATCAAGCCAAATGTCTAAGAACAGACAAATGAATTGAAAAAGTGTGGCCCACATGTACTATGGGATATTGCTCAGCTATAAAAAAAATAATGAAACCCTTGCATTTGATAGAAAGTGGATGAATACGGAAAATTTAATGCTAAGCAAAGCAAACCAGGCTATGAAAGAGAGGCATTGTATGTCTCCACTTAATATGTACTGAATGTATGCATTTTATGGCAGAATGATTGAAAGGCAAAGAAGTATGGAAAGCAACCATGGATTCCAGAGACAGTATGGGATAAGGGCAGTAAAGGGTAGAAGGAAGGGAATAAAAAAATTCAATGAACAAAAAAAAAAAGGAAAATTATCTGTTGATGACAATGTATATGGTAATCTTTTTAACTGGACTAACATATAGGGTATTCATGCTGGGAAAATTCATTTTCAATGTTGTAAAGGTATACAGTGATTGAATGTGAAAAATAATTTTAAAAAAAGTTAATTTAACACACATACACACAAACACTCCAGAAAGAAATGAGGGAGTATGGTAAAATGTTGACCATTGTTAAAGTTTAAAGAAGTTGTCCTCTTTTATGTACAAATTTTGGAAATCTTTACAATAATATTTTTGTGTTTACATAAATAAAATGACATGAGTAATTGTTCTAGGTATTCTAAAAGAAAAAAGTCTGGAAAATAACCAGTTTGATTCCATTTAAGATTCATTCATTTATTCATTCATTTATTGTTGTCATAGGGTTCATGTGCTCACCCAAGAGAGACAATGTAAGAAATCACCTGCTGGTCGATGGCCACACCACAATCCCTTCTATATTGTCCTCTTAGGACTTTGGGCACACATGCACATGTGCCTGGTGTGTTTTTCAAGCCACTGGGTCCAGGACTCAAACTAGAAAGTCATTCACATGGGATCTAGCACCACAACCATCACACCACCTGCTACTCAAAGTTGTAGTGCAGATTTCAAAACTATAAAGATAGCTGCAAAAAAATCGACTGTTAAGTTCTAAGTTTTAGGTTTACAGGTGATTTTTATGCTTTTTAGTATTTTCCAGCTTTTAAGTTTTCCAAGATGTTTTACATCTCTTAATATTTACCGAATAAACTATGTGGTGAATTACGGATAAATTGTTAATAGTGATAATTTTTTTTATAGTTTCTTTATCAAGGTAGCTTTGGATTTTAAAAATAAACAATTATTGTAGAACTATGATGAAAATTGTAAAACCCACGGTCAGGGATCAGCAGTTAGCGTAATGGCTATGTCGCTGGACTCCCATGTAGTTAACCGCAGTTCTAGTCCCGGTCCGGGTGGCTTAAACTCACTCTGGGCGCATGTGTGTCATGCCCAAGATCCCGACAGGAGAATAGAGGATAGAGGATAAGGGATTGTGGCATGGCCATCCCCTCTGGGGGGTGATTTCTCGTTTTCTATCTCTCTGTCTCTCTCTGTCTTTCTGGCAAGCGCACGTGCCCAGTAAGAAAAAACCTCTCTAAAAAGAGAAAAACAAACAAACAAATACAGCCATAAGATGGCATGGTGGTTAAGGGGGCCGAATTCCCATATGGGTGAGCATGTTAGAGTCCTGGACCCCTGGCGTCATGCTGGACATGTGTGTGGGACTGGCCAAAATCCTGAAAGGAGAATGGAGGAGGAGGGACTGAAGCATGGCCATCCCCCCCAGGAGATGATTTCTCACTTTCCTTCTCTCTGCCTCTGGTCTCCCCAGGAAGAGCATGTGCCCTATGGAAACAAAACAAAACAAAACAAAACAAAACAAAACAAAAAAACAACAAACAAAAAACCTAAAAAAAAGAGTTTGTAAAATAATTTCTCCCTTAAGCTCTTTTCCTGCAGAGTTGAAATAAATGTGATGATTGGTTTTGAGAGTTACCTGCCTGCAGTAGGAGTGATGGGAGGGGTCTACTGTTCCTAGACTTTCAATCTAGTTGACAAGCCTCTTAGAGGCCACCAAGTGGCATGATGGTTAAGGTGTTGGACTCGTACACAGAACACCTGGGTTCGAGTCCCAAATTTGGCTAAAATCCGGTCATTGTGTGCACAAACTTGAGGGGGGAGAATGGAGAAGAGATTGTGACTGACCTTTTCCTGGGAGGATGATTTCTCACTTTTTCCTCTCTGTGTCTCCAGCAAGGCCATCGCCCTATGGCTAAACCAACCACAAAAAGAAGGGAAGGGGACGGGAGGGAAAAGCAGTAACAGAACCTCCAAGCGATCGTAGGACCACGGCATATGCGAAGTGGAACATACACTAAGCGTCCGGGTCAGGGAGAAGAAGGGATCATTTCTACAGTCGCAAGATCTAGCCACATAAAGCCAGTTCTCCGGTGACGCCCACACGAGGAAGACTTTCCTGGCAGCGAACTCAGGAACTTTGGATCTAAATCAGGACGGGGCGGCTCAGTTGAACTTTAGGGCCGCAGCAAGCCCCGCCCCGCTGCTTGGGTCAGCGCAGCCTGGAAACTAGCAGCTGCAACTCCTCGGAACCGCCGCCTCCGACTCTGCGCGCTCGGACCCCGAGCGCCTGCGTCTGTCCCGGAAGGCAGCCACCATGGACTCGGCGCCGGAGCTGCTCTTCTACGTGAACGGCCGCAAGGTGAGCGCGCCCGCGGGGGCTGCCCGGCGCCTGGACCTGCTGCCCGGGCCGAGGGCAAGGAGTGCCTTCTGTCGTTGGTCCCTCGTCCTGTTTTTGGTGTCAGCGACTTCAGGCACTAAAGCACGCACCGGGCGTTCCGGTTGGGAAGAGGGCTCCTGTCGCGGCCCCATCCCCACCTCCGGGGCTTCGGAGGATGTTTTCAGGAGCCATCTGGATGTTTGGGCCCCCACGTTCCTAAAGCTCCCTTTCGTCTCCTTCCAAGGCTCACAGAATGCTTTCAGTCCCACCTGCTCCCTGCACGAGCTGTTCTTACCCGTCAAGGCCAGCGCTCCCAAAGCCCTCCCGATAAACGCCGCTGGCTATGGGAACACGTTCCAGGAAACTGAGAGCAGCCCATCTAGATGGCCGAGCCTGGGCTCTGGGGTGTGTCTGACCAAGGGAGGACTTTAGAAACAGAACACAGTGGGGATGAGCTAGCTGAGGCCGCCCCCACGGTTTCTCGGGCAAAGATACTGAAGTTCCTGGCAGAGCTGAAGCAAAATCAGGCTCTGGGGACTCAGAGCAGGGGGTCTGTGCTCTCAGAGAACGAAGGCTCGCTCTACAGACGCTGGGAGAGTTCTAGGCGGTGTGCTTCCTCCTAACCTCACCCCCACTCCCGTGTGGGCGCCCACCGTGCTCACGCTTAATGTTGTCTCAGCGTATGGGCTGAATGGGGAAGCAGAGGCAGGAAGGTTAAAGGGCGTCCTTTAGAGCTAAATACGGTGGTGCCAGTGCTGGTTCATTTGCAGCCGCCCCGGCTTCCTGCCCGAGGGAAGCCACCTTTCTGACTGGCACCTGCTGACTCCCCACGAAGCAAGCAAAGGTTAAGCACTGAGCCACTCACTTGTGAAACCTGCCCTGAGGTCCTGATCCTAATTGCCATCTGTAGTTTTGTATTTTTTTCTATAAAAATATTTTTTAAAAAAATTCTGCCAGAGAGAGAGAGAGAAAGCGAAAGTGAGAAAGCACTCCCCATGGAGGATTACAATCCTGTCTCCATCTCTCCCTGCTTTTGGGGATTTGGGACACACACGCATATGTATCAGACATGTGTTTTAAGCCGCAGGTTTGAGACTTGAACTGCATTGCCAGCCATGTGGGATCTGGTCGCCTTAACCACCATGCCATGAGCTGGCCCTTAAAAACACTAGTTTTTTAATTTGCTGTGGAGTGCATGTGCTCACCAGAGAGAGAGAGACAGAAAGAAAGAGAAATCACCCCTCCAGGAGGGATGACAACTCTGTAATCTCTTCTCTTCCATTTCCCTCTTGGGATTTTGGGCACACACACACACACACACACACACGCACACATCAGCCCAAGCATGTTTTTCAAGTGGCCAGGCCTATGAGTCCCATAGTCAGCCATGTGGGATCCAGCTGCTGAACTGCTACCTCACCTGGCTGGCTCTAAATTTTATAATTGTGTATTATTTTTCTTAATGAGCCCACTCCAAAATTGTACAAATTCTAGGCTCCACTAAAACCTTATCTGCTCCTGCTGCCAGGGTTACACTAGAGAACACCAGCTTGTTTTTCCTGATCTGTAATGGAATATTAGGCCTCCCTTGCAGGACTGCTACAAAGGTGAAATATGGTAACAAAGCGAAGTGTAACAATTGACACTATGTCATTTTTTCTTCTTTAGGGTAACAGAATGTTATAGTAAATACTATACTAGCTTTTAAAAAATACTTTAAAAAATTTATTCATAATCGAGAGCACATGCACACCCATGAGAGATAAGTATCTTCAATAGGGTCTTGTCACAACACAATCTCCCTTCTTCATCCGTTAGGTCGTTAGGATCTTGGTCACTTGCACACATACCCGACATGTTTTTAGACCTACGTGGAAACCTGAGCCCGCAGTCAGCCGGGTAGTTTCCAGCACGACAGTTCAGTAGGCTACAGGCTGTGCCTCTAGGCTGGTCCAATACTGGCTTTTTGTTTAGAAAAACAAGGATTTAATTCCACCTCTAATACTGAGATGCTCTTTCAAAGCTTAGTTCTCTCTTAAAGGGAATAATATAATTTACTTCATAAAGAGTGATTATGAGTATTCAATCCGATCATCTTTAGGAGCCTACTATATGCCTGGCAGTGTTCTAGGCTCATGGGGTACCAGAGCACAGAAATGACAAAGCTTCTGCCTGTGGGAGACAGACAACAAGCACATAAATACATGGAAATATATAATGCCAGGCAGTGACAAGTGGAAGTATAGAAAAGAAAGCAAAGTGGGGCCAGCAATTGGTGTGGTAGTTAAGGTGCTCGACTCCCACATGGTCGACTGTGGTTCGACTCCTGGACCTGGCAGCTTGCTTTCTCATTTTCCTGTTCTCTCTCTCTTTCTCTCTCTGGTCAAATAAAGAAATAATAATGATAAATTAAATTAATCAAAAAGAAGTAAATAGAAAAAAGAAGAAGAATGCAAAGTGAGGGGCTAGAGATTGGCAAGAGCTGATACTTCAGAAGGGACGGACACTTCAACCTAAGAGGATGACATTTCAGTAATGATCACTGCGAAGTCAGAGAAAGCCTGCAAACATCTGGAGGAAGAACATTCCAGGAAGAGGGAATAGTATGTGGAAGTGTCCTGAGGTAGGAGGACTTCTGGTTGGTGGAGCTGGAGATATAGCCAGGGGCCAGACTACTAGGGCTTTCTAGGTGATGGTAAGGGTTTTAGTTAAATGAGGAAACAGGTGTTTTTGTTTGTTTGTTTGTTTTTGAGAGGTTTTTGCTATAGGGTGCGTGCACTCGCCATACAGAGAGAGACAGAGAGACAGAAAGCGAGAAATCACCCCCCAGGGGGGATGGCCACGCCACAATCCCTTCTCCTCCATTCTCCTCTCGGGATCTTGGGCACACACGCACATGTGCCCGGCGTGAGTTTTAAGCCACCGGGTCCGGGACGTGAACCGCGGTCGACTACATGGGAGTCCAGCGACATAGCCATTACGCTAACTGCTGGTCCCAAAACAGGTGTTTTGAGTTGAACATTGTTCCCCTCATCTATCCCCCACCTCTATAACAAACTGTGTTGGAATTTTTAACATAATGGCTAACGACAGTTTGTGTTCAACTAATTTTTAAAATAGATAAATCGATTCTTTTCTGTGGGCCGATTTGATCTATGAGCCAAAAGTCCTGTAAAGTACACTCTAGACCTATTGATTCAGTTTTTGCAATGACCTTAGCAGTAGAAATCATGTGACCCTTTTCCTTTTCTTCCTCCCGCTCCCAAATTCTGATGGGTGCATGCTTGAGTACTGGTAGGCAAACCTGATTGCCACATGGATAGAATTGCAATAAACTTTCTGATTCAGAGGGTGAGGGGCTTATTGAGATAGGTGTGAGAGAGACATCACTAGAGAATAGGGGTCTTACAGTCAAATGTGACCTCTGAGATTCAAAATTAACTTTTGAAAAGGAAGCTTAGAAGTGAACAAGGAGACTATGTGTGATGTGATTGGTCTCTGGTCTGTGCAGTTTGCAAAATCTCCCCAAGTCACCAAAAGAGGTCATCAAGCAGGATCAGACTATCTGGAGACAAGGCCAGTGCTTAGTCAGAGCCCTAGTGGCCAAGAGATTTCCAAAATCTTACTCCACCAGGACCCCGCAAAATAGCAGGTGACTCAGGGTGGCAGGTGGCATGGTGGTTAAGGGTGCTGGACTCCCACATGGCCGACCATGGTTCAAGTCTGAATCTGGTGGCTTGCTTTCTCACTTTCTCTCTCTCTCTCTCTCTCACACACACTCTGTTCCTCTTTGATCGAATTAAAAGAAATAAATAAAGCTAAATAAGAGCCCATGATTAAATTATACCATTGATGCCACTCTGCACTCCACTCAGGAACTGAAGTGTGTCATTCCATGAGGCAGTGAGGCATAGAGGTCGAGGGAATGTGCTTTGGAACTAATTAGACTTGGGTTTGCTCCTGGGCACTCTGCTCTGCCTCTTGGCAGCCCTGGGGCCTTAGGCAAAGTGCTTAATATCTCTGAGCCTCAGTTTTTTCCTTTGAAAACAGAACTAATAGCAATACCTTCTGTGGAATTGTTATGAAGATTAAATTCCATGGTAAGTGATTAGTAAAGTGTTCGTGCATAGTAAATACTTGCTATGTGGAAACACTTGTTTATATCTAGACTAGAAGATCATATGCTTTGGGGGCCAGTAGATGGTGAAGTGGTTATGTTACTGAACTCCCACTTGGCCTACTGCAGTTCGAGTCCTGGACATGATGGCTTGAAAATCACTCTGGGTGCCTGTGCATGTGTGTGTGCCTAAGATCCCAGGAGGAGAATAGAAGAGAACGGACTGAGGCATGGCCATCATCCCTGGGGGTGATTTCTCACTTTCCTTCTCACTGTCTCTGTTTCTCTCTCTTTCTAGTGAGTGTGTACTCCCTAAGGCACAAAGCCTCTTAGAAAACAAACAAACAACTGAAGATAAAGTACTTTGTTGGTAGAGCCAGATCCTGGTCAGAGGTGTCAGAGAGCTGAGAAGAAATGATTGAACACTGATTGTTCACCAAACATGTAGGGTCATGGTATTAATATAGGAAACTGGAAAGAACCGTTCATTGGCTAGTGTTTCCCAGAGTCCTTAGCTTCCTGGGCTGAGAGAAGAAATTTCTGGGCCACAGGGATGGCTGTCATGATTCACAGAAAAGTGGAGGGAGTGGCAGTAGTTTAGGCAGGAAGAATCAACAAGCAAAATGAATGTTAAAGCAACCCGAAGCTCAGGAAGAAATGTCCTGGTGGCTCCCCCTCAAGCCTCCTCCGCTCTGAGGCTGCCGTGGGTTATTGTTCTTCTCTATTAACCGAGTCCTATAATCCACATCTCTTTCTTCCCTTTCCCTCTACCTTGCGGCCTTGTCCTCTCCGTCTTACGTTCTGTCCTTAACTCCCTTTTCTCTCCCCTCTCTCCTTTCTTTTGCCCGCCTCTGGTCTTGGTTCTGGCAGGGCCCGCTCAGTCACCAGTCACCAACCACGCACATGGGAAAGTGGTTTTGTAAACTTATGCAATGTGAACTTGGACTCTCCCAGAAGGGCTGGCAGCGCTATAGAGGACAGATTCCGCCCTGGCAGTACCAACAGCTGAGGTGAGACGGGTATACGCAACGGCCTTGACCTGAGAACTGGCGTTGTCTCTCTGGTCCAGAGTCAGGGAGAATAACTGTTCCCCAGGCCTCCCAGCCGCCTTCTCAGTCTTGACCTCCTTCTTTCATCCTGAGAGCTGCTAGGACAGGCTGCGTGATGCATGCTTGATTGATTCTTGCTCCTACTTCCTTCCTCAAAATATGACACCCCTCAAAATCAAGTAAAATAAGTATATTCCAAGCCAGTGGCACTTCGAGCCAGACTTCAATCTTTTGAAACAGCTCCTGGAACAAATACTAAAACAAACAAGGTCTGCTTTTCTCATGAGTTTCTTCCCCAAATATATAAATATTCCTCAAGTCTGAAATGCTGTTTCTTACTATCTATGCCACCCAGATCCTGTCTCTCTGTTAAAACTTGGCTTCTGTGATTCACCATTGTATGTATTAACAAGAGTTAGTTTCAGCTTCAAATGCCATAAACTCAAAACTAACAGTGATTCAAACAGGGTACTACAAATTTTCCCCTTTACATAAAAGATATCTGGAGATAGACATTGTGAAGCTTTTGTCCAGGAGCCTTTTGCTACTGTCTTGGACCCAGGTTTCTTCTCTCTGTATCTTCTGCTGCCCCTAATGCATTGCCTCATAATCTAAAGTGGCTGCTGGGGTTCTAGTCATTTCATCCTTAGTCCAGGTGGAAGGAGGAAAGGGAGGGAGGAAGGAAGGATGCATGCTGAGATAGACAACCAATAGTATCTGCTGCTATACATTCTCTGTTTTTCTTCCTTTTTAGATATCCCAGTTGTTGAAAACTCATTCCTCCCTTCTTCATGTTTCACAGCAAGTTGTGCACATTCTGTTCAAGGAATCCATTTAATTAGTGAACATTATTATATCCCTATGCTAAATCCCCAGCACTGAGCTCAGTGTTTGACACAAAGATGAATGAAAGAAGATGATTTTTCTCAGAATCAGGATAGGTTTATACCTATACAAATAGTTATATGCAAAGTAGAAAGTACCATAAAAGAGGTGAGGACATCAGCCGTGGGCACACAGAGAACGGTTACGTGGAAGGGTACAGTTGGTGGCACCGCTCTCCATGGAGAACGTCTGAGCTTTGAATAGCATGCAGAATTCTGCCACATAGAGAAGACAGGGAGGCCTGTCAGGACAGCAGGAGCCATGCGTTCCAAGGTACTGCTGCGACCAGCCGGTGCGCCCATGTGGCCTGAATGCAAGATGCCTGGATCAAGTGGCAGGAAACAATGGGCCTTGCCAAGGAGTTGAATTCCTTCTTGTACTGCACGAGCTCGCAAGTGTGAATTCATCTAAGACCCATTCAGCGCACTCATTAAAATGGCATTTTTCTGGTTCCCTCTTCCAGAAATCCTCATTCTATAGACGTTATGTTTTAACAAGCACTCCGATGATTCAAGAATTCCAGACATGGCAGTTCAGCATCCAGGAGCCACGTAAATTTAGGCAGATACATGAGATGGGATGACTATTGGAGTGTTCACTCTGGTGATGGCACTAGAGGGTGGGATCTGCAGGTGCCAAGCGTGGAGGCAAGGAGGCTGGTTAGGCAGCTGTTATCCTGGTTCTGGCAAGAGTTGGTCCGGTTGTGTTCTGGATACCGACAGTAGAACAGAAGGGCATTTAGACGTCTAATTGGCAGAACGTGGTAACACTGATTGTACTGCACTGGAAAGAGGAAAGAGTTTAAAATAGCTCACGTTTTTAAGTGTAGATGACCTAGCAGGTAGTGAGGCTATTAAACAGGTTAGGGCAAAGGAGGGAAGGAATAAGTTTGGAAAATAAAATAAGGCATTCCATTTGAGGGCCTTGTAAATGGAGGATGCCTGGGAGGCCCCCCCAATTTTTTCTTGTACTTCAGCATGTACACACACGCACAAACACACACCCACCTCTTTCCATATTGAAGATTCCTCTGGGGCACAAATAGCACACTGGTCATTGGTATATGCCTCACTTCCTGTCATATGGCTTAGAATGAGGGAGAGGAGGCAGCGATAGAATAAGCGTATGTCCCTCCTCACCTTCTTCTCAAAAGGGAAAGTTACTAAGCATGGTGAAAACTAATTTGGCTTTTAAAATTGTAAAACAAATCATGCTTCAGTGCAGTCTGTGAATCTAAAATAAATCCTGAATTTTTAATCAAAAAAGAGAGAAAACTTGATTACTTTGGAAAGCATAATTAATCATGACCTTTCAATCATGCCATCCCTCAGGGATTTTTTTTAATCAAGTTTTTTTTTTTTAAATTTTTCTATAGGGTGTGTGCACTTGCCAGAGAGGCAGAGAAAGACAGAGACAGTGAGAAATCACCGCCGCCCTCTCCCCCACAACCCATGTTGGGATGGCCATGCTGCAGTCCTTTCTCCTCCATTCTCCTTTTGGGATTTTTGGTGCACATGCACATGTGCCCGTTGTGAGTTTTAAGCCACTCAGTCCAGGACTCAAACTGCAGCCAGAGATATGAGAGTCCAGCACCTTAACCACTACACCAGAAGGGATGCTGGTTTTCTTTTTCTTTTTAAATAATTATTTATATTATTTTATTTGTTATTTTAATTTGATGAGAGAGAGAGTGAGTTGCCAGGTCTAGGTCTTGAACTGCGGTCAACCATGTCGGAATCCAGCACCTTAACCACCATGCCACCTGCTGGCCCTCAGGAATGCTGTTTTAATGCTGGGCTGCCCACGTGAATTTGCCAAAGTGTGTCCTTGCTGTACAGCTTTGCATCACCTGGCACATTTATCTTCTCCTTTGTTTCTCTGATGCAGGTGCCGTGATTGGTTTAGTCTCCTTCTGGAAGCTGTAATTATTTGAACATGATAAACACACTAGTTTTTTAAAAAATTATTTCAATTAACTATATCAGACTAGACAGTGACATGGTGGCTAAGGTGGCTGGATTCCACATGGCCAACTGTGCTGTTTGAGTCCCAGTCCTGGCAGCTTGAAAGTCACGCCTGGTGCATGTGCGTGCACATTCAAAATCCTGAAAGGAGAATGGAGGAAAAGGGAGTGCAACATGGCCATCCCCCCCACGGGGTTATTTCTCTCTCTTTATCTCTCTCTCTCTTTCCTGTGTGTGTGTGTGTGTGTGTGTGTGTGTGTGTGTGTGTCTAGAGAGCACATGTACCCTAACTAACAAGAAGATATTAACTAACAAGAAGATATTAACTCTATCAATGTCTCAGAGGCTATTCTATTTTATAGAAGCACCTCTCTTTCTCTCTCTCCTATTAGATTCTGTCCTACTAATGTCTTTTCTCTCTCCTCCTTCACACTCTGTGCGAGAAGCTGAACAGGTGTCACTAGTTTTCCTCTCAGAAGAAACAACCACTAGGTCTTAGCAAACAGTGATAATTCAGGACCAAGGACAGTAGCACAGGGCTGGTTGGGCTGGAGATTTGAGAAGTGAGTTGTCCATTACAGATGTTCCATAAACATGAAATCAACTTGAAAATATGAATAGCAGGGTTAATTAATGTGCACTTCCCTAAAATCAGCTTGGTACCAACAACATGGATATTATAATATCTCTCACAGTTTTGTGTGCCTAACTCTTGGTTTTACTCTGTCATAGGTGATAGAAAAAAATGTCGATCCTGAAATGATGCTGTTACCGTATCTGAGGAAGAAGCGTATCCTTTCTTTGTTTTGAGTGTGTGAGTGAGTGTGTGTGTGTGTGTGCGTGTACCACTGATGTCCTCATCAGATGATATTTTAAATATCTGTTTAGAGCCACACTGAGACATATTCCCTACTTACAGTTTTGTGATTATCCTTGGAAAAGTCTTACGTCCTAGTTTTATGGGCAATGCACAACTGTGGCTATCAGAACTAAGTTATTTTGAATCTTTGTTTTGGCACTAAATACATTGTATAAAGTGGGAGAACTAAAACAATGGATGTTAAGAGGGCTTAATTAAGCATCTTTTAGAATTTAATAGTCACAATATTTATACTCTCTCTTCAAGGACTAATCTTCAGGCCCAGTAGTAAATGAGCACAAAAATTACCTGAAATGCAAGTCAAAGAAAAACAGAGAAATTAAACCTGAAAATTCTACCACAAAAAAACATTCTAAATAAAAGCTATCTAAGGAATGAATTCTTAGCCTGCTATGCATGAGTTTCAGTGGGCTTCCAGAAGTCAGTAGACCTTGCTAAATTATATGCCAAAGTATGTAACAATGGGAATCTGTATATGTATTTATTCCTTGAAAAGGGTAAAATTCCCCAAAAAGTACACAACTCCAAAGCACCAATAGCTACTTTTCAGACACATGAGTATGTCCCTGAAAGTCAGAAAGATCTTTGGATGTAAAGACAATGAACACTGACTCCTTGACTATCCACAGTACTTCTGTGTGATATTTAAAATTTAGTTCATTGTAAGTGAAGGAAAACCCTAAATAGTAGCAAACAAAATAAGAGTTTATTTCTTTCACATTGTACTAGTTCCGGTTTTCCCGGAAGCAGACACAAACATGCACACATAAAAAAATGGGGTTAAATGTGCAAGAGTCTTATTAGGAGAAATGCCTGTGTAAAATAAAATGTGAAGGAAACTGAAGAAGACTTAGAGAGTCGTTAGACCACAATGCAAGTCTGACCTTGGAAAATTAGAGAAAGAGAATGTTGAATGGAAGGGACCTGGACTGCCGATCTATCTAAGGTGTGTTTGTAAAGCTACTGGGGATGGTTGGCAAGGACTCCATGTCTCTCCATAGCACTGAGCCATTGGCAGGGAGGCATGGCCTTAGTGAACACTGGGGCGATGGGTTGCAAAGTGCAGCTGCTGGGTCCCCTGGTGACATTCCCTGCTGCTGAAGGCCATCTGTGAGGCATGCTCGCATGGTGTCCTCCTCACCTACAGGAAGCCCAGAGGTAGGCAGATCAGGCGAGTAAACATTCTCAGAGCCAAGCTCCTTGTGTCTTGCTACCCCACCTTCCTCAGCATGCAGCTTTCCCCTCATGGTCAGAGAAAAAGGGTAAAATTCCCCAAAAAGTACACAACTCCAAAGCACCAATAGCTACTTTTCAGACACATGAGTATGTCCCTGAAAGTCAGAAAGATCTTTGGATGTAAAGACAATGAACACTGACTCCTTGACTATCCACAGTACTTCTGTGTGATATTTAAAATTTAGTTCATTGTAAGTGAAGGAAAACCCTAAATAGTAGCAAACAAAATAAGAGTTTATTTCTTTCACATTGTACTAGTTCCGGTTTTCCCGGAAGCAAACACAAACATGCACACATAAAAAAATGGGGTTAAATGTGCAAGAGTCTTATTAGGAGAAATGCCTGTGTAAAATAAAATGTGAAGGAAACTGAAGAAGACTTAGAGAGTCGTTAGACCACAATGCAAGTCTGACCTTGGAAAATTAGAGAAAGAGAATGTTGAATGGAAGGGACCTGGACTGCCGATCTATCTAAGGTGTGTTTGTAAAGCTACTGGGGATGGTTGGCAAGGACTCCATGTCTCTCCATAGCACTGAGCCATTGGCAGGGAGGCATGGCCTTAGTGAACACTGGGGCGATGGGTTGCAAAGTGCAGCTGCTGGGTCCCCTGGTGACATTCCCTGCTGCTGAAGGCCATCTGTGAGGCATGCTCGCATGGTGTCCTCCTCACCTACAGGAAGCCCAGAGGTAGGCAGATCAGGCGAGTAAACATTCTCAGAGCCAAGCTCCTTGTGTCTTGCTACCCCACCTTCCTCAGCATGCAGCTTTCCCCTCATGGTCAGAGATGAATAGTTGAGTTACAGTCATCAGATCTGAACTCCAGCAAATAGGAAGATGTCATGGACAGAGAGGGTGGCACCCCTCTCCTTTTAAGGACATTTCCCTCTTGGAAGTCATATACATCCCACTGGCCCATGTCATTAAGGAACTGCCCCCTCCAGCTGCAGAGCAGGCTAGAAAAAAATATTTTTTTATTCTGGGCCAACCGTGTGTGTGACTAAAAATTCTCAAATATTTGTAAGTATAAACTCTTCCTTTTTAAAAATAATTACAATTATGTATTTTTAATTCAAACCTGAGACTAGCAAGACTCATTCAGAATAAGTTATTTACAAGACTTGTTAGGTGAAGGGAAAAGAATTTTCATGAAACAAGAGACTGCTGTTTCATAATTTATGAAGTAAAATTAAACAGTATGATCCAACTAAATAGTACATTTTTCTTGATGCCCATAGAAGCTTTTCATTTTCATAAGACAAACCTTGTGGTAGCCAGAAACTATTGCTCCTTAAAACTTCAGAGAGCAGGGACCAGCAGTTAGTGTAATGGCTATGTCGCTGGACTCCCACGTAGTTGACCGTGGTTCGAGTCCCGGACCCAGTGGCTTAAACTCACACCGGGCGCGTGTGCGTGTGTGCCCAAGATCCCGAGAGGAGAATGGAGGAGAAGGGATTGCGGCATGGCCATCCCCCCCTGGGGGGTGATTTCTCACTTTCTGTCTCTCTGTCTCTCTCTGTCTGTCTGGTGAGCGCACGTGCCCTATAGCAAAAACCTCTCCAAAAAAAAAAAATAAAACTTCAGAGAGCAGGCCTCCTTTGCCAGTGACCCCACCTTATTAAGCTGCTAGTCAGTGACATCTAATTTTATTAATTAACATACAGGACACTGGTAAAACTGTCAGATTTTAACCAAGTAACTTTCCATTAAATATTCTTCCACATGCTTTGGAATCTTCTCAAATACCTTAGTATCTCCATGTAACTGCTTCTATATACCACTGAAAGCACCATTGTTCCTGCAACACACTGACCAACTCCCAAATCCTGATGTAAAAAAGCAACTCTTCCATTCTTAATTTGGCCCTATTTTTTTAAGAATTATTTTATTTATCTTTATTTACTTATTTGTTTGACCAGAGAGGGACAGAGCAAGAGAGAGAGAGACAGAGAGAGAGAGAGAGAAGGCAAGCCTCCAGGTCCGGGACTTGAATTGCAGTCAGCCATGAGGGAGTCCAGTGCCCTTAACCATCAACCACCTGCTGGACCCAATTTGGCCCTATTTTTGGTAACTTGAAGTCCAGGTCTTTTCAAAGAAAGGATACAAAATATAACACATAAAAAAAGACATCAGGAGTTTACAAGAGTATATATTATAGTAGCTATACTACAATAGTAGCTAAGACACTTGTATACCATTTGATAAATATATTTAAACTTAACTATGCATTTAAGAGGCTGTGATAGTTCCATCTCTTAAGGTCAGAGCTATTCTAGAAAGAGAATCATGGAAAACACATTATCTTTAACTAGCCTTCTTCCAGTTCGACTCACAGGAACTAAGTATGGCTGTGGAGGAGGCGGCTGTGGAGCCTGCACTGTGATGATATCACGATATAACCCCATCACCAAGAAAATAAGGTACTTTGCAGAAAGTAAAGATATGATTGAATTTTTATAGTTTTAAACTTTGTCTTCTTCCTTTATTTAGTAACTATGTTTTGAGCACCGAATATTTAAAAGGAACTGTGCTAAGTACTGAGGATACAGTGATGAACAAGACAGACATGGTCCCGGAAATATGAATGGGTTAGGGAAAAAAATATATCACCACTGACAATAGCCTATAGTCAAAGAATCCCCTGTAAAAAGTTGAAAGGCTGCTGACTCCCTGTGCTTTCTGGGGATTAAAACACAGCTGAGGGGCCAGCATTGTGGTTAAGGCTCTGGACACCCACATGGCTGACCATGGTTGAGTCCCAGATCTGGAGGCTTGGGAATTGCACTGGGTACCTTTATGTTCATGCCTAGAATCCCAGGAAGAAAGTGACGAAGAAGGAAAGAGGGAGAAAAAGGCCGCTGTCTCTCTCTGTTTCTCTTCTCTCTGGCAAGCGCACACCCTGTGGCAAAAACCTTAACTTAAAAAAAAAAAAAAAGGCTGAAATAGAAGTGGGAGATATGCCATCATCATACTCTTTCTTCACTATTACAGCCCACTAACTTATCTCCTGCCCCCACATAGTATGTTCTTCATACACCATCTAGAGAGAGATTTTCTACGATAAATCGTATACAGCACTTTCCAACCCGTGACTTCCCGTTATGTTTAACATGTCTTCATTTGGTATTGGCACTTTATCAGGTTTCCTAAGTTTCTTGGATCTGGGGATTGATGTCTTCTGTCAGCTTTGGAAACTTCTCTAGGCATTATCTTTTCAAATATTTGTTTGTACCACACTCTACCCCCTCTCTTCTGGAATTCCAGTTATACATTTTGTTAGATCATTGTACATTACTCCAGAGATCTCAGATGAGGTCTAAAAGTCTGAGCATGGATGAGATTTTAGATGTCTCCCTGTGTTCCACAACCGTGCCACCTACATTCTGAACTCTGGAATATTTCCTTCCTTTGCAACCTGGCTTCCAGCTTTTTAGGTCATAGATTCCTTTGCTCTCCATCTCAGATTCCATGTTTTGGGAGTTCTCTTGCAACCATGTCACTCTGTCTTTAGCCTTTCAGGGATAATCATTGTTTTATACTTTATGAAGCCCAAGTGCCTAGAATTTTCTCTCAGTTCTTTTTTTTTTTTTTTTTCCAGGTGTCTTTGTTTAAGACACTGTCCTCATTTTTGGAAACTATCCCTAGCACTCAGTGAATTCTGGTTGGAAACAGTTTGGGGGTAATTTAGTCCAGCTTTGTACTTTAATCCTTTTACCTGTCTGAGGCAGATTTCTCCTCCTTCCATTTCAGAGAGAGAACAACTGTATCTCAGGGGTGAGAGCAACTGGTATTTTCTCTCTTATGCATAGTTTGCCACTTAATGGAGTTTAGTTTATTTAAATTTCTTTATGTACTCAGCATCTGATAAACTTTTAAAAAACATGATCATGTAACTTACATGTCTTGTTTTTAGGACAAGATTGAGGACTGTGGTAGTTTCTTACAACTTTTTACATCTGAACCAAATGCTCATTTGCCTTTGGATTAATATTCAAACTCCTTACCTTTACTATGAAGCCTTTCCATTACCTGCCTGGCCCCTGACTCTCTCTCACCGTAAATAATACTATTTCTCCACATTCACTGTGCTCCGGCATCATTGGCCTTCTTTTTCTTCCTTTTTCTGTCCTTAAACATCCCAAGTGTGTTGTCCCTCTGTCTGTCATGCCTGACTCCTTCAAATCATTCAGATTCTAGCAAAAACATTACATTCTCAATCCTCTATGACTACCTTCTAAAGAGCTACATCCTACCTCACCTTCATAACTCTATTTCCTTTGCTTACATTAACTTATTCATGGCACTTCTCAGCATCTCAGTTTACATATGTAGGTGTGTATTTAGGTGATTGGAAAAGTCATGACATATTTTCTATAGAAAAATGTGTCATGGGTTTTCTGACAACCCAATATATTGTCTGTATTCCCTTAACTAGACTATAAGAGATTTGATCTGTCTTGTTCACCATTGGATTCTACCACTTCTGCCTGGATCACAGCAGGCACTCAATAAATATTTATATTTATTTATAAATGAATACTGTTCTTTCAGTCTTTCTTTGATGTGTATACATTTGAAAGCATAGTACATGCAGTGTTTAAAAACCTGTATATTTTGCTTAATTTCTCATGAATACCTTTTGAAAATAACGAATGTAATTTTAATGGCTGTTTATGTTCTATTTGGGCGTACCAAAACCAATTCCCAAATAGCAGTCTCTTAGATTATATTTAGTTTCTATTAAAATGAGCAACACATCAGTGAATGTTCTCACAGTACACTTATGCTTATGTCTGTGGCTATTTCCTTATGATACACTCATGGGGAAGAATTACATGGTAGAAGAGCGTGTCCATTTTAAAAGTCTTCATGTGTTTTAGCAAGAAGCTCCAAAGAAGGCCTCATTTTCCATTTTTATATCCTATGTATGAGTTCTACTTTCCCAAACTTTTACTATTGACGGATATTACAGTTTAAAAAGATGACACTTCTCATTTCTTGACTTGAATCTCTGCTGGTTATTTTTGAGGCTGAATGTTTGTTTCATGTATTTATTGGCCATTTGTAGTCCTGTTTAGTGAATGAGAACATTTTTAGAGTCATTTTGAGTTGAGCATTTTCAGGCTTGATTTTGTGGGATTGAGGAATTCTGTGTCCGATCCTATTTATTTTTCTGAAGTGCAGTATAAAAATTTGCTTTATTGTTCAATCAACCCCTTTTCCAGCATCTCCACGGAAGATGGAGGGGGTTGGTTACATATGAGTAGAGAATGTGAGCTTCTCATTCAAGGGGAAAGTCAATTACAGTTAGTAGAAACTGTTCTAGAATGAAATTAAGTGTTCTAACTTTAATCTTGCCACTGCCACTCCAACTGTGACCCTGAGTAAATCACTCTGACCCTTAAATTCTACTTCTATAAAATAGATGTGAACTAAGCACCAACCGTATGCAAAGCCAAGGGATAACGTATATGCACACCTGCCATCTTCGCAGTCTCAGTGGGCGCTTGGTCCCCTTTCCCACTGTACGCAATGTAATGTGTACCGTATAACACGCACCTCTGTTTTGTATTCTGAAGACATCATCCAGCCAATGCCTGTCTGATTCCCATCTGTTCTCTGTATGGATCTGCTGTCACCACAGTAGAAGGCATAGGAAGCACCAAGACCAGAATTCACCCCGTCCAGGTGAGGATGTGCCTCTTCCTTAGAAGGACTCTGTGCTTTGGAACCATTAATGACGTGATGGATCCCTGAGAAGAAGAGAATAGAGCAAGCCAGCTTCTGTGTGGTTGGTAGCATACTAGATACGAAGCTGGAAGCCACATGCTGACTTCCTCACTGTCGTGAGGGTCCCCAGCCTGGTTGACTTCAAAACATGCTGGGTGTGTGCTCACATGCCCAGGAGCCTGGTGGGCTGGAGAATGGGGATCATGGTCTGACAGCCTTGTGGGGGGTGCATCTTTTTCTCTCTGTTTCTCTCTTTCTCTCCCTACATCTCTGTGCCTCTCTCACTCCTTTTCTCATGCATGTATATACATGCTATATTATGGATAGAAAAAACGGAGAAAGAAAGAGTAGGACAGTCTGGCTCCTGCTGCTCAGTTATTGCTAACAGACAAATTCCATTTTCGGGGGGGTGGGGGGCAGTGGACAGTAGTATAGCAGTAAAACATGTCGCCCCACTAGGCTGACCTACATGGAAAGGTTCCAAGTTTATGTACAGAGATTTCCCTGAGTATACCAAGCCTGCATGTGCCTGTGATCTAGAGCCATCTGAGGCTGGGGGTGGATTGCGGTGTGAAGATCCTGCTGGGAGTGCTTTCGCTCTCTCTCCCTCTTTCTCAAAGGAAATAAATTAATTAATAATTAAAAAAGCAAACAAACCAGGTGGGACCAAGAGGAAAATCTAAAATGTTGGGAAATAAGTGTTTGTGACTAATTTCTTGGAAAAGTGCTTTTAAAAGACTAGAAGGCTTTGGGCCAGCAGGTGGCATAGGCTCTGGACTCCCACATGACTGACTGTGGTTCGAATTCCAGACCTAGCGGCTTTCTCCCTCTGGTCAAATTGAAAAACAGTAAATCATTTAAAAAGTAGTAAATAATAAAAAAGAAAATTAAATAAATAATTTTTAAAAATATTAGAAGGGGACCAGCAGATGGACTCCCATGTAGTTGACCATGGTTTGAGTCCTGGACCCAGTAGCTTGAAACACACCAGGCGCATGTGCATTCGTGCCCCAAATCCCAAGAGAATGGAGGAGAAGGAATTGCAGCATTGCCATCCCTCCAGGGGGTGATGTCTCACTTTTTGTCTCTGTCTCTCTCTATCTCTTCAATGAGCACACATGCCCTATCGCAAAAATCTCAGAAGTCTCTCTCTTAAAACAAACAAACAAACAAAAAAACACAGAAGGCTTTTCTACTAAGAAAAATACTAAGAAAACCTTCCTTGACATTATCAGGGTTGTTCCCTACATTTTAATTAGATGGGACCTATTTATCTTACATCTTCCAATTCATAAAGATACAAGAGCTATGTGCATGGGCAGATATAATTTTCTTGTTTTGGTATGAAGTAGGAAATAACATGTTTTTAAAGCTGAATGAAAAATCTCACGTGCCAAAACGATTTGCTGAATTTAAGCCTTGTTCAGAAAACTGATGATAGTTATCAGTGAATTTTTAGGCCCTTTTCCTAAGGCAGGACCTTGTTAGAACTTTTGCCTCAAGTTAAAAGGCATCTTCAGTCTCCTGACTCCAAATTACATTGCCCATCAAAATACTGTATGTATGTATCTATGTATGTATGTATTTTTAGGCTTTACCATAGAGTATGTGTGCTTGCTTGAGAAAGATGGAGAGACAGTGAGAGGAAAAGTGAGAAATCACCCCCCTCCGCCACGGGGTTTGGCCTCACTGTAGTCCCTTTTCCTTTATTTTCTTCCTGGGATTTTGGGCACATGTAAACATGCACCCGGAATGAATTTCAAGCCACTAGGTCCGGTACTCAAACAGCAGTCGGCTATGTGGGTGTCCTGCACCTTAACCACCACACCACCTGCTAAGTTAATGAAAGTCTCTTACAAGTAAAGGTTAGAAGAGGGAAAAGATAAAAAGCAATGTAGAAAATGGCTGAATTTCAAATTCTCTAGCCTCGAAGGAGTTTTCTATTCTATTTATTTCCTCTAAAACTTCATTAGCTAAAAGGAGAAAATTCTCCCTGGAAGCCTCTGTGAGATCTGGCATACAAGCACCCTTTCATTTCATAGCAGATACTGAGCTCCCATTGTTACAAGGTTGCCAAAAGTCAGCTTCAGAACCAACTTGTCCCTTAGAAGTTAGACTCCAAAGCGAAAGATATGGAAGAAATAAAGGCAGTATTTCCTTCCTGCTTTCTGGGTTAATAATGGCACTTTATAAACTCCTGGAGTGTTAGTATAACAGGGGGCAGATTTTAAAACTCTGAAAAAATAACCTGGAGATTTTTTCTTTTTTCAGTGAACTCGTGAGTAAAGTGGTTCATTTCTCTGAAGACCTTCCTTTATCTCTGTGTTTCATGCTTCAACTCAAATTAAAATCTACTATACTTTTTTCTTTCCCTTTATTAGTTTCTTTATTTCTTTCATGAGAGAGATAGGTGGACACCACTAACAGGATTCTTTTTTTTTTTTTTTTGTGAAGAGGTTTTTGCTGTAGGGCCCGTGCGCTCACCAGACAGACAGAGACAGAGAGACAGAAAACAAAAAATCACCCCCCAGGGGGGATGGCCACGCCGCAATCCCTTCTCCATTCTCCTCTTGGGATCTTGGGCACGCACGCACATGCGCCCGGCGTGAGTTTTAAGCCACCGGGTCCGGGATGTGAACTGCGGTCGACTACATGGCAGTCCAGTAACATAACCATTACGCTGACTGCTGGTCCCCCCAACAGGGTTCTTATGCTGCAATCCATTCCCAGTCTCAACCAACCTGGGTTTCAGGCATGTGTGCATGTACCTGGTGTGTACAGGGAGTCTTTGGAATGTGAACCTGGGATCCTAACGTGGTCTAAGCATCAGGGAGCATTGCATTATTACTGTTCCAGCACAGTTGACTCCACCTGGGGCTCTAAAAGATGTATGTGTGTGTTCCACTCCCAGAGACCCTGAGTTGTTTGTCTGGGGCACTACTTAGTCCTTGGAATTTTTTAAAAAGAATTATTTATTTAATTTTATTAATTATTATTGCCATTTTAAATTTGCTATAGGGCACATGTGTTCCCCAGAGAGAAAGAGTGAGAAAGCAAGTCACCAGGTCTGGAACTCAAACCATGGTTGATGATGGGGGAGTCTAGCACCTTAACCACCATGCCAGTTGTCCCTGAGCCTTGGGATCTTTAAGCTCCCCTCATGATTCTAAAGGCTGAGAATTATTGCCTTAAGTGAGACTCAAAAGCTGATAAAACCTCAAAATCACAACCCAGCTCCAGAATAGGAGGCAGCTGGGATGAGAAGTGTTTTCAGAAATCTCTTCTTCAACTTCAGTAATGAATATATGAATTACCAGGGGACCTGGATAAACTGAAGTTTCTGATTCAGTAGGTCTGGGAAGGGCTTCAGTGTCAGCATTTCTATTCTTTCTGTGCTTCTAGGAAAGGATCGCCAAGTGTCATGGCACCCAGTGTGGATTCTGCACCCCTGGAATGGTGATGTCCATCTATACGCTGCTTAGGAATCATCCAGAGCCTACTCTGGATCAGTTAACTGATGCCCTTGGTGGTAGGTCGTGTGTGTGTGCGTGTATGTATCTTTAAATGATAATAATGACAATGACAGCTAATACTAGACACCTACCATATGTCACATAGTGTATGAAATACTACTAAATGTCCTCATTCAATTCTCACTTACTTTATAAGATAGGTGCTATTATTATCCCCACTTCATAAGTGGAGAAACTGAGTTTTGGAGAGAGTAAATTTTTTCCAAGTACTTCACTGATAAGTGGAAGGTTTGTTCAAATTAGGATTCTTACCAGATTCATACATGGTTTTGGCTGAATTTTTTTTTAAGAAGTTTTTAAAAAACTTCTTATAGGATACGCGCTCACCAGAAAAAGAGAAAGACAGTGAGAGGGAAAGTGAGAAGTCACCCCTGTGGGATGGCCACACTACAATCCCTTCTATTCCATTCTTCTCCCAGGATCTTGAGAATGTACACACACACACACGTGATTTTCAAACCACCGGGTACAGGACTTGAATCATGGTTGGTCATGTAGGAGTTCAGCGATGTAACTGGTTCTCCATCGGCTGACCCCCTGAAATACTTATTTTAAAAAAATGTACATTTAATCACTACATCTTTACAGTGCACAACATGTTTTTCCCAACATCAATACAATGCATATTAGTCAAGTCAAAGACATTTCTTAAATTTCTTTTCATTTATTTATTCTCTTTTATTGCTTGCTTATTTTTATGATAATTAAAAAGCTAATATATTCATTTACTTTTGGGAAAATCCCAGTTACCTCTGCACACTGCTCTCTCGCCATTCACTCCTAATAACCAGTGCTCACAGGATCATATGGGTGCCAGAAGGCTGTTGATGAACTCAGCATGGAGCCAAAGGGACTGAAGTCTTTTGGGGATACTTATTTCAAAGAACTGTCTTTATCCATCTCCAGCTATTTTAATCAAGTTCAAGAGTTTATGAACTTTAGGCTCATGTTCCCTTGCAGAGAAATGAGGTCTTCAGCTGGTAGGAGTCAAAGCATGGTGATGATCTGGACTGGGGAAGAGGAAAACAAGGAGATTTCTTTTGGTCTAAGGATACAAAGTTTCAGTTATACAAGATGAATAAGTCCTAGAGATCTATTGGGTATCATAATGCCTATAGTATTAATACTATATATTGTACATTTAAACATCTGTTAAGAAAAGACATGGAAAGTGGACGAATATGTGTTTACTGCTAACTGAAGCAGGCCAGACAATGAACAAGAGGCATTGTATGTCCCTCCTCAATATATACTGAATGTCTATACTCTATGGCAGAAACTGAAAGACTGGAAGGTATAAAGGCATGGAGAGCAACCGTGGATACCAGAGACAGTGCAGGAAGAGGGTAGGAAATGGGGAAAGGTGAGAGGGAAAGAATCAAGGGAAAAAAGAAGCAAAACATTTAAGAGACACAAAAATGGAAAATGATTTGTTAATGTGTCAGGTAATATCTTTGACTAAACCAATGAAGTAATCATGAAAGGAAAATTCACTTGGTATCCTGTAATGGTAATTGAATGTTAAATAAAAAATAAAAAGAAAATATATCTTTTGTTCTAATCATGAATGAATGAATGGCAGGAGAAAACTTTTAGAAGTGATGGAATGTTTAGAGCATTGACTGTAGAGATGTTTTCTAGGGTATCTACTTATCTTCAAATATATCAAATTGTATACATTAATTATGTGGAGCTTTTAGTTTGTCATTAATACCTCAATAAAGCTCTTGAATGTGATTGAAAAGCAAGTTTCTGGCTTGAAATTATTGTGTTGTTTGAGTACATATGACAAGTAAAAGGAATAACAACTCTTTACAGTGAGCAAGTGATAAAGGGCTGAGCTATCAAAATCTGCCTCAAGACTCTCAACTAGATGTTCCAGGTACCGATGAAGACATCTGATGTTGTAGATTAGTGAACTGAAATGTCAAACAGAGCTTCCTTCTAGAATGGGGTCCTTGATTCCATCATGCACTTGGCAAACTACGTCTTTCTAGGTCACTTGGTTAACAGAACTGGTTTTTTTCTCCTTTAGGTAACCTTTGTCGTTGTACTGGATACAGGCCCATCATTGATGCATGCAGGACTTTCTGTAAAGTAAGTAGCAAATAATGCATGGTTAAGTGTATTTTCCCCAATGAAACCAACAGTAGGGGTTGCCAGATATCATTGAGCGGATGGCCATTGTTACTAATTTGGGGCTATTTCTTATGCGAAGGTTCTTAATAGCTGTTGATTTGATCTTGAGTAAGGTGCTTACGTTCATTCATTGAGCTTGCCTTGGTAGCCACATAAGGAGCGTCTAAGCATTTTGTCATTGGCTGCGGGTTACTTCTTCTAAGAGGTCATTCCTGGCCTATTTAACAGGGTCAGGTGCCCTGCCTCGTGTCCTGGTGGCCCTCTGTGCATACGTGATGTTCATGTACATGCTCCCTCCGTCCCAGCCTTGGTCGCAGTGGTGTGTAATTGCCTGTTTACTGTTTCATCTCTTCATTAGACTGTGGGCTGCTTGACAGCAGAGCCTATACATCTCCAGGGTCACCATGCACTAATTGAATAGCTACTCAATCAACATTTGTTGAATGAATAAATGAACAACTTTGAAATGAAGGACATAGAATTGCCCTTTGAAAGTTAAACTACAAAATCAGTACATCATAGATAACAATAGAGTGATGATAATAACAGTGCTTGATAATATTTATTGTTAATATTTGAACTATTAAATATTGATATTAACAATTAATTATTGTTAATATTTAGGTTATTGCTATGTGTAAGGTTCAGTTATAAGGTCTTCACATATTTTGACTCATGTAATACTCACTACTGTTCAAAATTTATTTTAAGAAATTTTATTGGAGTTAGACTGGATGTGTTTCAGTACAAATAACTTATGATATCTAAGAATATTGATTCTGTGTTATGTTTTAACTAGTAGTCGGCATTTTATTTAATACTTAGTAGAATCAGCAATGAATTCTTGGTGATTTGGGTTTTTTTTCTTTTTTAGACTTCTGGCTGCTGTCAAAGTAAAGAAAATGGGATTTGCTGTTTAGATGAAGAAATAAATGGATTACAAGAGTTTGAGGATGAAAATAAGGTCAGTGAAATGTTAGATTTTCTCAGGATGTGAGGAGCAGATGACTTACTGTGAGGAAGAATAAATGGCTGCCCAAGTTGACTAATTTGAGGTATGCCAACATGTCCATCTCTCATTTTCTATCAGAAAGAAAACCAAAAAATTGTCCTTAGCAACTTCGTCCCTCATTCCAGATTTACTCCTGCTCAAATACAGCTATCTGTAGGAGAGAAAATATATTTATCCCTTGTGTCTGTTAGAAAGAAGCACAACATTTAAGGGACACAAAAATGGAAAATTATCTGTTGATGATAATATGTATGCTAATATCTTTAACTGAACCAATATACAGTGTATTCATGATGGGAAAACTCATTTGGTGTGCTGTAATGATACATAGTGATTGAATGTAAAATAAATAAATAAATAAATAAAGTTACCCCCCCCCCCAAAAGCAGTTAGTCTTTTTTTCAAGGATCAGAAGCAAAGTGGTGATGTCATAGAAATGAAAGAACAGACAGTCGGTAGTGATAGGAGAGGTGGTGACTCGGGGAACCTTTCTTCTTCTGAGCTGCTTCCAAAGCTCCTGCCTGGCTCCTCCACTCCTGTGCTATCCCCAGACTCCAAAGAGAATGAGCAGAAACTTGAGGGCTTCAGAGGCCCACCAGCATCTGCACTGAGTTGCTGATGACTGGGCCTGTGGTAGAGCCCTAGGCTTGGAGCTCAGAGATTTGTAATTGGAGCTAACGTTTTTGGCTGTTTGCTGTGTATTTACCTGTATGTCTATATTCTTTCTACATCATTTCACAAAGTATTTAAGTAGTAGGAATTGCTTAATGACAATAATTTCCAACACTTTCTCTTTTTAAGATAAATCCCAAACTCTTCTTAGAAGAGGATTTTCTGCCTTTGGATCCAACCCAGGAACTGATATTTCCTCCTGAACTAATGGTAAGTAAGGCAGTGTTGGGCTTATCCTAGAGGAATTCATTGTGATGTGTCAGGAAGGGCATTTACTTATGGATTCTCTCATAAGCTGAATGGCAAATAAGTATTACCCAGCTGTCATCCTTATCTCAATGTCTAAATCGTAAGGGTGGAGGAAGAGGTGAGGGAATGAGGGATGTAGTCACCATCAGGGGCCATTTGAGTTGCCTGTAAGAAGAAGCAAGTATTCCTGTAAAAAGTCATGAAATCACAGCTTGTGTAGATATGGACATACTTTCTTTTCTTTTCTTTTTAAAATTTTTCCAGAGGGTATGTGCGCTTGCCAGAGAATGTGAGAACCACCCATAGGACATGACCACACTGCAATCCCTTCTCCTCCATTTCTCCCTCCTTTTGGGATTTGGAGCATGCACACACACACATGTGCCTGGCATATTTTTCAGACTACTTGAACCACACAATTGACTCCATGGGATCCAGCCACCTTAACCATCAGACCACCAGCTGGCCCTATATTTTCTACTTTCAATTTTGCTGAAGTTTATTTTTCCCATAAAATGATTAGACAAAATTAAGCTTGTTAATATATTTGTTAAATATTGAAATGAATTCCTTTGTAATATAAGAGCAATAAAGAGAGACATATATTGGGGCCAGCAGGTGCTGTGAAGGTTAAGGCCCTTCCCACATGGCCGGCTGTGCAGTTCAAGTCCTGAGATGGGAGATGGTGAAAGGAAGGGAACAAGGGGAAAAAGAAGTAAAATATTTAGGGGACACAAAAATGGAAAATTATCTGTTGATGATAATGTGTATGACAATACCTTTAACTGGACTAATATACAGTGTATTCATGCTGGGAAAATGCATTTTACAAGCTGTAATGACAGAGAGTGGTTGAAGGTATAAAAAGTAAATAAAGAAAGAAACAAACTAACAAAAAAAGAAAATTATGCTATGTGTGTGTGCCTAAAATCCTGAGAGGAGAATAGAAGAGAAGGGATTGCAGTGTGGCCATCCCCTCTAGGGGGTGGATTCTCACTTTTCCTTTCTCTCTCTCTGTTTGTCTGTCTCTGGAAAGTACACATATTCTATAGCAAAAGCCAAACCAAACCAAACCAAACCAAACAAAAAAGAAAGAGATACATATGGAGCAGTTTTTAGAAGGAGTAAAATACTGCACATAATGGTGAGCTCTTTTTTTTTTGAGAGAGATTTTCGCTATAGGGCGCGTGTGCTCGCCAGACAGACAGAGACATAGAGACAGAAAGCGAGAAATCACCCCCCAGGGGGGATGGCTACACCGCAATCCCTTCTCTATTTTCCATTCTCCTCTTGGGATCTTGGGCAGGCACGCACGCATACACACCCATCGTGAATTTAAGCCACTAGGTCCGGGACTTGAACTGTGGTCGACTACATGGGAGTCCAGCGACATGGCCATTATACCAACTGCTGGTCCCAATGGTGAGCTCTTAAGGTCCTTATTTTCTAGCTAAAATGCATGAATCAACTTATTTATCTTGTCTAGCAGACGAGTAGAAAAATAATTATTTTGAATTATAACACAGAGGTTCTCTTTTCATAAGAATGATGACCTTCTAAAAGAGGAATGCAGGGAATTCTGTAAAGTTACGCAAGATACTAATTGTCTAGATAGTTGTATTTTTTACAGAACTTTTCTTTATTTGCAATATCAGAGAAATGTAACAATTACATCATACCCTCAGTACAGGATACTTTTATCCTCAACTTTGATTCTTTGTAAAGCTCTACTTTTAGGTCATTTTTATTTTTTAGTGTATTTTCTGCTTCTACAATAATAGAGCAGCAATAGGAGAAAATGTGGTCAGGCGGCCTCTTGATTCCCTATTGCTTTTCCAATAGAGAATGGCTGAGAAGCAGCCGCAAACAACCAGAGTTTTTGGTGGTGATAGAATGACATGGATTTCTCCAGTGACGCTGAAGGAACTTCTAGAAGCTAAATTCAAGTATCCCAAGGCCCCTGTTGTCATGGGGAACACCTCTGTGGGTATGTAGAGCCCCAGGAAAAGGGCTTAGGGTGGAGGGAAGTCACTTGATATATGTGTGTTTTCAGGAAAAGCAGTGTGAGAAATAGCCTTTTAATTCTTTGAACCCAACTTACTCAATATATTTTCTAACTATCATTAAATAAATAGATTTGCCTCTCATTGGAGCAGTGCGCTTAGTTGTACCCAAGAAGCTTGGTTCTGAGCAAGCCAGAATGAAATTTCAGTGACACTATCCTGTATTTCCATTTGGGGAATGACCTGGGTCTTTTTGTTCACTCTCAATGGTGTCTCAATAGATGCATAATAGTTGAACCACAGGTACAGGGTCTTCCTGTTGTATCCAGTGTAGTTTCAGTTTGAGGAGCCCCTAGAATCTTCCTAAAGAGAATTTTGAGTATGCCATATGGCCCAAGCTTTAAGGCTGATGATTCCAAAGAGTCCTCCAAGTTTAATGAAAATCCATATACTATTCTCCCTGCATATAATTTGGCAATAAATAGACCAGCAAAAAATATCATAATTTGTATATTTTTGGAAGACTTTAGCTTAATTATCATTTTAAAATTCAAAATTTTAAAACCTCCTTTAATTCTAATCTTCATCATTTTTTTTTCTAATCCTTTAGGGCCTGAAGTAAAATTTAAAGGTGTCTTTCACCCAATTATAATTTCTCCTGATAGAATTGAAGAACTGAGTGTGGTAAACCATGGACATAATGGTGAGCTCTTAAGGTCCTTGTTTTCTAGCTAAAATGCATTAATCAACTTATTTACCTTGTCTAGCAGACAAGCAGAAAAATAATTATTTAGAATTATAACACACAGAGGTTCTCTTTTTATAAGAATGATGACATCCTGAAGAGGGATGCAGAGAAGGATTCTCTAAAGTTACATAAGATACTAATAGTCTGGATAGCATTTTTACAGAACTTTCTTTATTTGCAATGTCAGAGAAATGTGATAATTACATCACACCATCAATGCAGGGTACTGAGCTAAGTGCTGGATAGAAGATAGAGATGAATAGAACAGAAGCACAATAGCAACCGAACTAAGTTTCTCTATTTTTTTCTTTCTTTTTTTGGAGAGATTTTCGCTATAGGGCGCGTGCACTTGCCAGTCAGCCAGAGAGCGCCATAGAGACAGAAAGCGAGAAATCACCCCCCAGGGGGGATGGTCATGCCGCAATCCCTTCTCCGCTATTCTCCTCTCGGGATCTTGGGCACGCACGCGCATGTGCCCAGCATGAGTTTTAAGCCACCGGGTCTGGGACGCGAACCGCGGTCGACTACATGGGAGTCCAGCGACATAGCCATTACGCCAACTGCTGGTTCCCGCAAGTTTCTCTATTAAGCAGCTTACGGACTGGCATTTCCACTCCTGTAAAAGAAATCAATTTAATGTCAGTCATGAGAAACGTATAAATATGAGTTTGGTGTAGAGCCTCTAGAATCTAATAATTGACTATGGTGTATAGTAGTTTATGGTGTTTAGTAAGACCTTAGGCAAGCTACTTACCTAAACCTCAATTTCTTCATCTGTGAAATGGGGCTATTAATATCTCAGGGATTTGTTCAGATTCAGGGAGATTATCTAAAATGGCCAGCACATTCTTTGACACAGTGAGTGTTCAAAAAGAATTGTCTCCATCTTCACCACCAACATCCTCACCACCACTCCTAACACCGCCACTTCCATCATCACCACTGTGACTATAACCCACCACCCTTCATCCTCATCACCACCCAGCAGCACCATCACCACCATCATCACTACCACCTCCATCACCAATAAGCAAGATAGCATGTATTCAGTATAAAGATTCCACATCTTTAGCTTGGTCTAGTGCACAGTTTAGCAGTTATAACACTGCATTACTTACAAATGGCTTCATTTCCAGGGCTAACACTGGGTGCTGGCCTCAGCCTGGATCAGGTGAAGGACATCCTGGCTGATGTGATCCAGAACTTCCCATATGAGAAGACACAGACATACCGTGCTCTCCTGAAGCATTTGGCAACTCTGGCTGGGTCCCAGATAAGGAACATGGCTGTATGTATTTTCTGATGATGGGAAAGTTTCATGAGCATTCCTTGGGTGAATGTTCCTGATGAATCATGAAATTTTCATTCTTTTGGAACAGACAAGAAGGATTATTCTCCATAAGCCTTGCTTAATCTTATTTTTAGCTCTTGTGTTTTTATAATTACATAACTGAAATGAAAATAACTCATTATTTCAAAAAGTCTTTAGGGGGCCACATCATGAGCAGGCATCTAGATTCAGATCTGAATCCCCTCCTGGCCGTGGGTAACTGTACCCTCAACTTGCTCTCTAAAGGTAAGTGACAGCTTCTACTTGGAATCACTAAATCTGTTCCTCCTGCCCTCTTTTCTCTATGGCAGGGTAGAAGTCTAGTTTTGAAAATTACTATTCCCTGAGATACTAATGATTCTCTCTGACTTTCTGGATGCTGGGAAGTTGTTTATTTGATCTTAGTGCCATGTACTCCTGACCTCTTCATCTGGGTCTTCCTGAGACTGTGTGCTAGATATTTTCTCATGCTGGTCACCTTCCATTGAACATGCTTGTGTTCAAGCATGTCCAGATGTGATCTGATCATTGGAGAGAGCCACAAGCTCTTGAGAACTCTTGGGTCCCTTTGTTGAAGACATTCTACAGGTGCTATGGGAGTGTTATATCACCTACATCATGCTTTGGGATACTTAAGTTGTCTTTTTCTTTTTTTTTTTTTTTGAGAGTTTTTTGCTACAGGACGCATGTGCTTGCCAGAAAGACAAAGAGAGACAGAGAGACAGAAAGCAATCACCCCCCAGGGGCGATAGCCATACCGCAATCCCTTCTCCTCCATTCTCCTCGGTATCCTCCATTCTCCTCAGTGCATGCATGCACATGTGCCCAGTGTGAGTTTAAGCCACCAGGTCCGAGACTTGAACCGTGGTCTACTACATGGGAGTCCAGTGACATAGCCATTACGCTAACTGCTGGTCCCACTTAAGTTGTCACTGATGGAAGCCTGTAAGTCTTTTTCAGTTGAACAATGGTTGGACTTCATCCTGCATTTATTGACTTGATGTTTGTTTTTGAAACTAATTTTAGGACTTTTATTTTCTTTATTCCAACTTGCTGAACAACTAGGAAGTTCTAATTGAGTCTCAATAAATCAGATTTTTTTTTCTTCATTTAAAAATATGAAGCAGTTGGTCCTATAGCCTAGTGGGTAAGGGGGCCAGATCCCACATGGCCAACTGCAGTTCAAGTTCCAGCCCTGGCAATTTGAAAAACACAGCAAACATGTGTACATGCATGCTTCAAAATCCTGTTGGGTTGAGGAAATGCAGGGAAAGTAAGTGTGTTGTGACCACAACTCATTGGGAGGCACTTTTTTTCTTTCTCAATCTCCCTCTCTAGTGAGCACACATACTCTCTGGTAATACATATATATTTTTTATAATATGGGCTAGCTTTTACCTTCATTGTTAAATATCTACTTCTCATATCATCTAAACCACAAAATGTTTTAAGGAAGATTTGCATTGAGTTTTCAATTTAAGTATTAGGTTATTGGGGGACCAGCAATTAGCATAATGGCTATGTTGCTGGACTCCCATGTAGTCGACTGCGGTTCAAGTCCTGGACCTGGTGGCTTAAACTCATGCCAGGTGCGTGTGTGTGCGTGCCCAAAATCCCAAGAGGAGAATGGAGGAGAAGGGATTGCAGTGTGGCTATCCCCTCTGGGGGATGATTTCTCGCTTTCTATCTGGTGAGCACACGTACCGTATAGCAAAAACTTCTCCAAAAAAAAAAAAGAAGAAGTATTAGGTCATTGGGAAAGCCATGATGTATTTTTCTATTTTTCTACGCAAAAATCCATCATGACTTTCCCAACAACCCAATAATATCCTTTGAAAAAGTCAAACCATGGGACCGGCAGATGGCATAATGGTTACATTGCTGAACTCCCACATGGCCAACTGTGGTTTTAGCCCTGTGTGGCTTGAGCCCTGGCCCTGATGGCTTGAAACTCACAGTGGACACATGTGGATGCATACCCCAAATCCTGAGAGAAGAATGGAGAAAGGATTGTGGCACGGCCATCTCCCCAGGGGATGATTTCTTACTTTCAATCTCTCTGTTTCTCCAGTGAGGAGCACATGCGCCCTCTAGCAAAAATCTCTATTAAAAAAGAAAGAAAAGTCAAAACTCCAAGAAACAGGTTTTGTGATATGAATATAGATAGCAAAGGCTTCTTAGCTTTCATATTCAAATTCATATTTTGTTACTGTTTTAAGATGTTCCTTCCCACAGTATATTGATTAAAGAGCTGGAGCTCTCTAGGTGCTAGAGAAAAGAATAGTACGAACAAAAAGACAGAACCTTGCTAGGACACAAATGCACTAAAGGCAATTTATTGATGCCCCAGTATACCACGTAGGGCTCCTGGTTATTAAGAATAAATGTTTGTTGACTGGCTTGATCAAAATACTGAAAGGGGTATTAACGTCTACTCTCTGCTCATGAAGATTTCAATGAGCTATGCTGTTTAGAAAGAGGACTGCTAAAGTCTTGTTTACCTGAATCTTCAAGTTTCCCTGCTAGATATTCTCATCTACAAGCAAGCAAAGAAGAGAAAGAAAAAGAAAGAGGGAAGGAAGGGAGAAAGGAAGACAGGAATGAAGGGAGGAAGGGAAGAAGGAAGGAGGGAGGGGAGAGAGCGAGAAAGAAAGAAAGGAAAGAAGGAAGGTAGGAAGGAAGGAAGGAAGGAAGGAAGGAAGAAACAGAAAGAAAAAGGGAAAAGGAGGGAAGGAAAGGAAAACACAAGTCTGTCAAGTGGTGTGGTGGTTAAGGTGCTGGATTCCACATGGACAACTCTGCAGTTCGAGTCCTGGACACAGTGGTTTGGAAAACACACCAGGATCATGTATGTGTGCCCAAAATCCTGAGAGGGGAGTGGGGAGGGGATTGTGGCATGGTCATCCCCTCTGGAGGGTGCCTTTTCTGCCCCCCACCAAGTGCATGTTCCCTATAGCACACAGAAAAAGAAAAAGATAGGGTTTAGAGAGCAAGAAACATTGCCAGATACCATTATAAGGTAAAGATTTGTTAAGCATATGGAGAGCACATCTTTCACCTAGCAGCCAGTTTTCTCTGATATTTGGTAGAATTATTTCCCTCATTTTAGAAGTTTATTTAATATACTGAACAGATTCCAGGAAAATTGTCATTTCTTTCCACAGAAGGAGAACGACAGATTGCTTTAAATGAGCAATTTCTCAGCAAGTGCCCCGATGCAGATCTCAAGCCTCACGAAATCTTGGTCTCAGTGAACATCCCCTACTCGAGGAAGGTGAGACTCTCCTACTGTCAATTTCCTGGTTTTACTCATGAACCTATGTAGCTTGTTTATTCCTAGAGATGGCAGTTTAAGAAAAAGTGTAGGGTATTTACTGGGGATATGAAAGTTCAACTTCAGAAAGAGTACAAGGTCGTTATTTTAGGAGGATTTGGGATTAGCTATCTTTCACTTGTATCGTGTATCCCCGTCGTTCCTATAATCAGGAGACCTCTGTGCTAGCCTCTCTATTTCCCTCTCTCCTCCCTTCCTCCTCTGTCTCCCTTTCCCTTGCCCTAGAAATCTTAAGTTACTTTCTGACAGATTTTTTTAAAGTTCTTGTTCTAAAAAGTGTTTTCCCTAAATAAGACATAAATAATATATATTTACCTATATCTTGAGGTTTGAAAGAAGCTAAAAAAATACATTTGCAATTGAACTTAATGGAAAAACAAGGTTTTCAAAGTCAGACTCAGGTTTGAATCCAGATTTCCAGGCCTGAACTAACTGCTGAATCACTCTGAGCTTTTGATTTGTCCTCTGGAAAATAGTAATCAAGCCTGCTTTGAAAGGTATAGTAGTTTGCTAGGGCTGGCCAAATGAAGAAATACCAGTTGAGTGGCTTCAGCAACAGAGATTTGAATTCTGGAAGCCAGAGGTCTCATGCTGAGCTTATAGATGACATCTTTGTCTTCACATGGTGTTTCTTCTATAGGTGGCTGTGTCCAATTTCTCTCTTCTTATAAGGACACCAAGTATTTCAGATGAAGGCCTGCTCAAATGACCTTGTGTTTAACGTTAGCTCTTTAAAAACCCTGTCCAAACAGAGTCACATTCTGAAATACTGGGGGTTAGGTCTCAACATACAATTTTGGAGAAAACACAATTCAACCTGTCACAGAGAATGCGAAGAAGATCAAACAATGCAACATACACAGATTGCTTAGTGCATGGTTGTCATTCAGCATGTCTCTACATGTGCCATTTTCTTCTTTTTTCCAGTGGGAATTTGTGTCAGCTTTTCGACAAGCGCAGCGGCAACAGAATGCACTAGCTATAGTCAATTCAGGGATGAGAGTCTTTTTTGGAGAAGGGGGTGGCATCATTAGAGAGTTATCCATCTTCTATGGAGGTGTTGGTCCAACTACCATCTGTGCCAAGAATTCCTGCCAGAAACTCATTGGAAGGTAAGGCATCGTGTCCTTAGACTCCAAGTAATGGAGCATCCCTCGTTTTCTTTGTTCATCTGTTTGTTTTTCGGTGATATACAAGAAACAATTCTTGGGACCAGCAGTTGGCATAATGGCTATGTTGCTGGACTCCCATGTAGTTGACCATGGTTTAAGTCCCAGACCCAGTGACTTAAACTCACGCCAGGCACATGTGCATGCATGCTAAGATCCTGAGAAGAGAATGGAGGAGAAGGGATTGCGGCATGGCCAACCCCCTGGGGGGTGATTTCTCACTTTCTGTCTGTCTATCTCTCTGTCTTTTTGGTGAGTGCATGCAAAACCTCTCAAAAAAACAAAAAATTCTTCATAACTTTCCCTTCAATGACAGGAAATTCCAGTAAGATTTCAATTATTTCCTCATGTAATCATTTTAGTGAATTCTGAAGAGGGTATCAAATTGCGTGTGTGTGTGTGAGAGAGAGAGAGAAGGAAAGAAAGACAGACTATCTTTCAATAGTAAAAATAAGCATTCTTTTTATTTAAATTTTTATTTCTTCCACAAGTGAGAGAGACATAGACAGAGAGACAGATACCTTCAATAAGATCTTCATTCTGCAAGCTACCCTCAGCTTCAAGCAGGCCCATCCGGGCATCTGTATGCCCAGCATGTTCAGGGGGATCTCCAGACATGAACCTGAATCCTCCCATGTGGGTTAGCCTTGCAGAACCTTACGTTACTCCGTACCACCAGCCAGCCCCAAGTTCACATTCTTTATTGTGAGAGACTAATTTAGCACAATAAAGGATAGATGAAAGATTTATTCTATGATAGATTGCTAAATGTATTTGTTTACCTCACCTTTTATTTCCACAGGATATATATATTTATTTACTTTAAAAAATCGTTTGTTGTTGCTTATTTCTTTCTATTTATTTCATGAGAGAGAGAGAGAGAGAGAGAGAGAGAGAGAGAGAGGGAGGCACCCCCAGTCTCAGCTGGCATGCCCAGGGAGGCCCCAGGACATGAACCCAGGACCTTTCCCATGTGGGTCCAGTTGCAATACAACAGTGACATCACCTGACCCTCCATGGGATATATTAATAGCCAATATTTCTTGATTGGATATCAGTTGCCATTTTAGAAGAAGTAATAGAAAATGGGAGTTAAAGGCATGAGCTTTAAAACTTGAGCAAGCCAGACTGCTTTATTCAAAGCTAAGTTCAGCCCTTATTAACTTCATGATTTCAGTCAGCTGACTTTACCTGATGATACCTTGGTTAGCTTATCTGTCAAATATGGATGATCATACCTTCCTCATAGGACACTTGAGAGGATTTAACAGTGAATACTTATAAGGCACTTTAAGCAAATCCTGGCATGTAGTAAACGTCCTAGTGATATAAAGGTCATTTACTCCTGGGCTAAGGATTTTATGCAGGTTGTCACTTATTCTCGAGGTTATACCACAAAGTGGGTGCTACAGATGATGACATGGTAAGACCTGAGCCAGACATCTTGGGAGTAGTAGACTGATTTGAACTTGGGTTGCCAGACTCTGGAACTTATATTCTTTCCCTGCATTGAACTGTAGCTGTTTGGGCTGGCTCCATGGCCTTGTAGTTAAGGTAGTTGAATCCAACATGGCTGATTACTCAGTTTGAATTCTGGCTCCAGAAGCTTGAAAAACATGCTAGGTACATGTGTGTGCATGCCCCAAGTCCTGACAAGGTAAAGAAATGGAAAAGGAATTTCAGTGTGATCATGCCCTGTTAGGATGTGCTTTTTCTCTCTCTCTTCCTCTGTTTCTCTGACATGTATACATGTTGTATGTCAAATTAAAAAAAATTAATTAAAAAAATCTGCAGCTAATTGTCTTTAGCTGAGCCTGTGAGGTCTGAGTACTATCAGACTAGGTGTGTTCTCTTTTAACTCTTATAGACCCTGGAATGAAAAGACACTGGATACAGCCTGCAGGCTGGTTCTGGAAGAAGTCTCCCTTCCAGGCTCTGCTCCAGGTGGGAAGGTAGAGTTCAAGAGGACTCTCATCATCAGCTTCCTCTTCAAGTTCTACTTGGAAGTGTCACAGATTTTAAGGAGGATGGTAAGTGGAACTTGTTAATGTCTCACTTTCCAGGTACTGGGGGTAGTGGTGCTAACCCCAAGTGAAGGAGATAGTCCCTGACAAATAGAATAGACACCCCAAATTAAAGACACCTTGACCTTCTGGGCCTCTAGCAGGCTTTCTCTGGGTGGGTATGAGTTTGGGGAAGAAATCTGAGTAGAACGTAGAGTTATGTGGCGTTGTAACACCACTCAGTTATTTTATTTCTGACCTGTTGTTTTTCTTTGTGTTGTGGAGAAAACTTGCTAATGATTGGAATATATTTTCCCTAAGTAAAACATTTCTTCCACCTCTCGAGGTTCACCTTCATGTGTCTGGTTTTCTTCTCAGAGCTCAGCTTCGTTTCTGTCACACATAACATGATGGCAGTCACTGCGTGGGCTCATTCTGAGATGGGTCACCGTAGGAAATAACAAAATAAATATTTTGGTCTCTAGTGCTTCAGGGGAACTGATTGCTAGTGGTCATCTTAATAGTAGCCATAATGCAGTTATTATTTTACCAGGTCTCCCTTATGACTAATGACTAGAGTTACAAGGTTGTTGCCCAGGAAAGGGAGAACTAAAAAGTTCTCTGAATAAATTTCATAGACCAAAGGGAATTTGAACCTTATTGGCCTCATTTACTCCTACTATAACCAATTGACTAAACCAGACGAGATGCCAAAAATCACTCTTCATGTAGTAGAGAAATTCATATTATCACTTAAAATAAGAGACCCAAATTCCTATCATATTGCCTTTTTAAAATTGTCTTTTTTTATTTCAACTTCTTTTATACATTCAATCATGTTATTTAGCTTGCAAACTGAATATTCCAACATGTGTACATTTCTTACCAGTCCAGTTGGCAATACTATAAAGTTATCTTCAACAGATAATAACCCATTTCTTTGTCCCATAAATGCTTTGCCTCGCTATCTTTCTCCTTACTGCCCTTCCTCAGATTCTACTTCTTCACCCACCATCTACCCACATTGTGTCTGGTATTCACAACCATTTACAGTGTTTCTATAACCTTTACTCATTCAGTTTTTGTTATAGAGTGCACACTCGGTATATATTAAGTGGAGACATACAATGTCTCTCCTTCATAGCCTGGCTTGCTTCACTCAGCAGTAAATATTGCTTTGAGGGTATCTCCTCATTTAGATGCAAACAAGTAAGAACCAGAAGGGTCGTATCAAGTATTTTAGAATAGAAACTCAAAATCACATATAAGTAATACATTGTAACATAGGTTATCAGAAGTGAAAAATAAAGCCAATTGTAGACTCCCCAGTTAATAGCAAACTAATATCGTTTCTTGGCAAATCAAGTGATATCATTTTAAAATTCTACCTTGTAGTCTTATGCCTTCCATTCAATTTCCCCTTTTAAAAAATAATAGCCTTTGTTAGTTTTATTTTCTATTAAAATTATTGGGTTGTTGGAAAAGCTGTGATGTATTTTTTTCTATGCAAAAATGTATCATGACTTTTCCAACAACCCAATATTTAAGTTATATAAAAAAGCAATGATTAGGGGGCCAGCAGGTAGTGTGGAGGCTAAGGTAGCTAGAGCTCACCTTGGCAACTGCGCAGTTCAAGTTCTGGACCTGGTGGCTTGTAAAACATGCCAGGCAGGTATGCATTGGTGCCAATATCCTGAAAGGAGATTGGAGAAAGGATTGCGGTGTGGTCATCCCCCCTGGGGGATGGTTTCTCACTTTCCCTCTCTCTCTGTCTCTCTGTTTCTCTCTGGTGAGCACTCACACCCTATAACAAACTGAAAACAAGATAAAACAAAAACATGAGATGTATTATTTTAAGTCTCATATTAAGACCCAAATGATCCATTTCCATCAGTCCTAATGAATATTCTTGTTGGGGTCAGGACCACTCCTCTCATGGATGGTGGCAGGTATGTAACCTCTTTACCTCATTTCTGCTCAGCTGGCCAGGAGGTTCAGAGCAGAGTTTTATACTCATTCACAGTGTGTGCTTTGCTCTGACTTCTTCCTGGTTTAAGTACAGTTGGCCCTTTGTATCTGTGTTCAAACTTTGTAGATTAAACCAGCCACTGATCAAAAAAAAAAAAAAAGAAAAGCAGAAGAAACATTTCAAAAGATTCCCAGAAGGGTCAGTTCCATAGCCATTTAAAAAGATTCCCAGAAGGGTCAGTTCCATAGCCTAGTGATTAAGGGAGCTGGATCTTACATGGCCAATTGTATATTTTTTAATATAATTATTTGTTTTATTTTATTTATTCACTCATTTATTTTAATTTGACCAGAGAGAGACACAGAGGAGGAAAGAGAGAGAAGGAAAGCGAGAAAGAAGCCACCAGGTCAGGGACTCAAACCGTGGTCAGCCATGTGGGAGTGTCCAACCACCACGCCACCTGCTGGTCCCATGGCCAATTGTATTTTGAATCCCAGCCCTGGTGGCTTGAAAAAACACACCCATCACATGTGTATTTATGCCCTAAATCCTGGCAGAATGGAGTAAAGGAGCCCAAGGGATTGTGGTATGACCACACCTCTCTCTGGCTCTCTCTGGCAGTTAAGAAAGAGAGAGAGAGCACATGCCTCCCTGGAAATTAAAAAAAAGAAAGAGAAAGAGAGAAATAATTCCAGCAAGTTCCAAAAAGCAAAACTCAAAATCAACACATGCTGAGTATTATGCTGAATCCACACGAATGCAGTGCTGTGTAGATACTATAAGTAATCTAGAGGTGATTTAAAGTCTTTAGGAGGATGCGCTTAGGTTAAATGTAAATACTACATCATTTTATATGTGAAACTTTAGCATTTGAGTATCCAGGGGGAGTCCTGAGACCAATCCCACATGAACACTGAGGAATAATATTTTCTGCCTTTCCTTTTTTTTTAAATTTAGATTCTATATTGCAGTATTGGTTTGTAAGTTCTCAAATCATTTAAGAAAACATGTAAAAGAATAATAGGAAACAGAGATGCTGGATGTTAGTTATGTACTATGAACATTTGGCT